TGCAATGGTAAGGCGAAGGTGGCATTTGCATTGCATCTGCAAACAGTTAGCAGTGCTGCTGCTGCTGCTGCTGCAGCAGTGCCACCTACATCGTCAGTGATGACAACGACAACAGCAATGGCAGTGGCAGTGGCAGTGGCAACGGGGGTTGGTGGAGACGATGCACGACTTGATGTGGAGTTGTTGCAATGCTGCTAGCATGTGACAACATCTCGTAGTGGGAATGCATGCAGCGCGACAACTTGGTGATTGGTCTCGTGCTGCAGCACCACTCTCCACATGACAGTCTGTTGCATTGGCAAACAAGTGGGTGGTGAGGAGACTCCCACACCACCTTCCGCCTCCATGCGCCCTCGTAAACGAGGCGCTCGTGCTGTTGGGCCATCGGGGAGGCAAGTGACGCATCGTTGTGTGCTCATGCGGATGCGTGAGTGGGTGGATGGTGAGACAGATGTGTGGATGCGTGAGTGGGTTCGTGATGGAGGTTGTCTCGCACACAGTGTAGAGCAGCATCCGAGGGAAGACTCACAACAGAGGATGTACTTCTGAGCGAGCACATCCCTTTGCTCACCCCTTCTTTGTTGCAAGCAATGCACCTGCGAAGGGACGAGAAGAGGAGGAAAGGGACGTCCCCAAATGGCATTTCTCGTTCGCAGTAAACTTTGTGCTCGGATTGAGTGACAAAGATCTTACCTTTACCGAAGCAAAACAACGTGTCTTTGACACTAACCTCGGCGGTTGTCTCAAAATCTTCGTTAGTGTGTTTTATGTGTGCGGATGCTACGGCCATTGCTTTCAACTTTTTGGCACCTGTCCCCGTTGTGATGTGCCGAACGTGTACAAAAAGATTGCCTTTCATTGTGGCAATTAGGGGATTGTGTTGGCTTACCGTTGATGACTGATTTATGCGGCGCATGTGAAGGGAGTGGAGAGACAGAAGGACCGATGGAGCGTCAACTTTTTGCCTCCTAACTGAGCGTGACATCTGTGAGTGGCTGGCAAAGGGAAGTTTGAAGGAATGATTGACAAGGCGGTTGCTGCCGTCTTCTTGTTTCTTTAACTGATGAGAAGCCAACTAAAGTGCTTTCAACGCAGTTTATTAGCAATGATGATTCAAAATTAAACTTCTTAATTTGGTTGGTTTGTTGCCTGTTCATCATCGAGTAATTAAATGAAAAAATTGACAGTTTTAATGCTTGAGTGATGGAATGATAGGTAAGAGAGAGATGAAACTTGTGGGCTGCAAATTACTAATGCAGAAACTTTGAGTGGACACATGACTTGATAAACGGATGGTGCGCCTCGATGGTATGGTAGAAAGGATTTCATCAAACAAAGTTAAGAGCTTGGGACTGCTTTTTCTCCTTCTGCATTGTTTGCAACAAAGAAGGGGTGAGCAAAGGGATGTGCTCGCTCAGAAGTACATCCTCTGTTGTGA